CTTGGGGAAAAAAAACCTTTTTGTGACGGGATATGGGCGGGCGCCGGATGCCACGAACTACCACCGGAAACGCGATCAGACGCCTGCCCTTGCCCCGCGGTTTCCAGAAACGAGTACCTCGGAGGTACTAGTTTTTTACGCCGCATCTTCGCCGGGAAGCCTCGGGTTAGCCACGGGAGCTCTACGCTTCCCAGATGTTGCAGTTTGATCGTGCCCGGAAAATCCGCCTATCTTCCGTCTCTGTAGCATGGCTAATGCTCCGTGTGACTGCAGCCTTGGTTTGGCTACGGTTAGTGGGACAGATCCACAGGACACAACCCAAGAGGCTAAAGGGGAGGAGGGTGGAAGGAAGGCCCATCTGGGGTCGGATCTCGTTAAAGGCTGAAAGGGGAGTCACCCCTCATGGCTGCTGATCTGTTCAGAAACCCCAAGGTGCTTCACTGAATCTGAAGAAGAGATTGGATTTATACCCCTGGCCCTTCACTCGGAGTCTCAGAGCGGCTTACAGTCTCCTTTCCCTCCCCCTTCCCACAGCAGACACCCTGTGAGGTAGGTGGGGATGAGAGAGCTCTCTCGAGGACTGCCCTTTCAGGAACAGCTCTGATAGAACTACAGCTTGCCCAAGGTCATCCAGCAGCTGCAAGTGTAGGAGTGGGGAATCAAACCCGGTTCTCCAAGGTTAGAGTCCGCGCACTTAACCACAACACGAAACTGGCTCACCGCTTTGCTTTTCGCACTCCCACCCCAGCAGCGAGATGGGAGCCGAGAAACACTTTAAGTGACCCCTGCAGAATGCAGTCTCAGGTTTCCAGAGGAAGGTTCGCCAAGAAGGAATGTAAACCATCCCTTTGTAAGCTGTGCACACGGGGTCGGTGGGTGGGGGGAAGAGAGCAGAAAGCAAAATTTCACACCGAGGCACAACTCTGCAGAATCAGGCTTTCGGGATTTTAATTTTTCCAAAGCTGGCTTCTGAAATTCCGCTTTGAGGGATACTTAAAAACAACAACAACCAAAAACTAAACACCTGAAGTAACTCTCGGCGAGGAATTTCAAGGCACTTTGTTATTTTAAGGCAATCATTAATCTCCAGGCAATCTGCACAAAATCCATAAAGGTAAAGGTTCCCTTGCTTGAAAGCCGGTCGAATCCGACTCTAGGGTTGCGGTGCTCATCTCCGTTTCAAAGCCGAAGAGCCAGCACTGTCTGAAGACGTTTCCGTGGTCATGTGGCCGGCATGACTAAACACCAAGGTGCACGGAACACTGTTCCCTTCCCACCGAAGTGGTACCTATTTATCTACTTGCAGTGTCTGGATTTCGAACAGAATCCTTAGCACTCTCCTTTCTCCTGGAGTCTTTGACTCGATTCTGAATTGATATAAAGAAGGTAGAGAAAGAAGTACTTTCCACCCTTTCTCACAGTACAAGAACTCGTGGACACTCAGTGGAATTAGTGAGCAGAACAGGTCAAAGGAAGTCCTTCTTCACCCAAAGACTAATGAGCACATGGAATTCACTGCCACAGGAGGTGGTGGCGGCTACAAGCATGGGCGGCTTCAAGAGGGGATTGGATAAACGTATGGAGCAGAGGTCCTTCAGCAGCTATGAGCCACAAGGTAGAGATGGAACACTCTGTCTGGGGCAAGTGATGCTCTGTCTTCTTGGTGCTTGGGGGGGTCAACAGTGGGAGGGCTTCTGGAGTTCTGGCCCCACTGCTGGACCTCCTGATGGCACTGGGTATTTTTGGCCACTGTGTGACACAGAGTGCTGGACTGGATGGGCCACTGGCCTCATCTAAAGGGCTCATACTGCAGCATGAAACTTTCATGTGATTGGCAAAGGCTGAGGTACTTTACAAATTCTTGCTTTTCTCATGCTAAACAAAGGGGGGGGGCAAATCTTTCACCTCAGGGACATATGTGGGGGATAGCTGCTGGCACTGCAAACGGGAAGACCTGGAATGCCACTGAGAACCCTCAAAAACCAGGCAGGGACCCAAATGTGGCCCCCGGTCCCATCCTCAGAGGCCTTCGATGTCTGTTTCTAGCGACTATTGGCCTGCACGGTCACTGCCGCAGTCCAGTGGACCAAGACTCCTATCAAAGTTGTTGTAGATTTTCCGGGCTGTGTGTCCGTGGTCTTGGCCTTGTAGGACCTGACGTTTTGCCAGCAGCTGTGACTGGCATCCTCAGAGGTATAACACAGAAAGATGGAGTGCTCTCTGTGTCAAGGTGAGAAGAAAAATGGAAGGCAGGTAATTTATATCTACTCCAGAAGGTGGGGTAGGGCTGAGTCATTATTCCTATAAAACTTTTAAGCAGAGTGGGGGCACCTCCCCCCCCCTCGCAAATCCACCTATTTCTGCTCTAATCTCTTCCAGTGTGGTACAGTGGATGGAGTGACAGACTAGGGCCCTGGGTGAGCTGGGTTTGAATTTCCACTTCCACCATAGAAGCCCGCTGGGTGACCTCGGCCTGGCCTACCTCCCAGGACTGTTGTGAGACAATCAAGGAGAGCACAGTGGTCTAAGGAGGGGAGACTGAGGTTCTAAAAGCTGCTTTGAGTCTCAGCTGGGGAGGAAAGCAGGGTATAAATAAATCTGTAAATGCCCCCAGGCTTACCAACTCAAGTAACCCCTTACCCCACCTCCTGGCAGCCTCTCTCTCCCCTCCCTCAGCTGTCTTAGAATCAAAGAATCATAGAGTTGGAAGGGGCTCCCAGGGTCATCTAGGCCAGCCCCCTGTACAATGCAGGAAATTCACAAATGCCTTCCTCCCCACACACACTTGTAATGATCGCTATTCCATGCCCAGAAGATGGGGGGAAAAACCCTCCAGGATCCCCTGGCCATCTCCTGCTTCCAGTTCTGCTGCTGCTGCTGCATCATCGCTTGCTTCGCCAGACTCTCTTAATCACTCAGCCATTTCATGTTTTAACCGGGGTCCCAGACTCAGAACTCTGAGCCTGAGATTTCTGTGGCGAATGTCAATAAATCAAAAGTAGGTTTGCAGCTTACAGTGCTAATGTTCTATGCATATTTTTATTTTAAGTTTAAAAAAATCTTTGTTTTTGTGCCCTTTATAAAGTTTGTATCTCCGCTACCTGGCGTTACATTTTATGACACACGTGGCCCAGCCCGACAAGGTCTCATTTATGTCAGATCCGGCCCTCGTAACAAATGCGTTCGACACCCGTGCTCTAAAGCTTTTTACAGATTCTGGTCTGCTCTAAAACTTTTTAGAGTTTTTGACGTTTCGATGGCTTCTTATTGGATTTTGAATCTCTTTCTTTATTGAGAGGTTTAGACGGACTTAATTTTTTTAAAAAAAAAAACATAAGTAAAGGCCTAGGAGAGAACCTTTAAGGTTTAAGAACCGTAATACTGATCCTGAGGGGGCAAGGGGGGGGGAGGAAACTCCACAGGCGCTCAGAGGGCTGCTTGTGGGCCAGGGGTCCCCCCAGTATTCCCTCTAAGCTGAGTTAGTGTGAGCTAGCTCACCGTTTTTTAGCCTCCAGCTCACACACATTTTTGTCTTCGCTCAGGAAAAGATGGCTCCAGAGCACACTAATTTATGCAGTAGCCAAACTGCTCGCTCACACCTTTAATGCCAGAAGATCACAAAGTAGGATTTTTGCTCACAAGACTCCACAGCTTAGAGGGAGCGTTGGTGCCCACCAGTGTTTCCTCTAAGCTGAGTTAGTGTGAGCCAGCTCACAGTTTTTTAGCCTCTGGCTGACACATTTCTGTCTTAGCTCAGGAAGGAGGGCTCTGGAGCAAACTAATTTATGCTGTAGCCACATCGCTCGCTCACAACCTTAATGCCAATAGCTCACAAAGTAGAATTTTTGCTGACAGGACTCCACAGCTTAGAGGGAACACGGGTGCTCACCCTTTTGAGGCTGCGCACACCTTTCGGACTCTGAGAGAAGGTGGCGAGTGCCACCCCAAGAATGGCTTCCTCGCAAAGTGGCGCCAAACCCAAAATGGTTGCCTCAGGAGGCGGAGCCAAGCAAAGTATCTCCCTCTACCCTCACAGCTCCTGGGAAGCAGGAAATCCTGAAAGGGGGGGGGGGAATGCAATCACACTCTGACCCAAGAAAGCCCGGTTTCTTACCAGTCCTCCTCATCCTCAAGTGAAGATAGTAACAAGCCCCGCCTTACAATGGCCCCGCCCACTTCCTGAAAAACATGGTGGGCGCCAAGGGAAGGACTGGCAGTTGCCATGGCGCCCACGGGCACTAGGTTGGGGAAGCCTGTCTCAGGCATTGTTAAAACGTGCCATGTTTCAGCTGAGGACAGAAGGAGTTCTGCAGCTTGGCGGCTCTGGGGGACGAAATGGAGCTTCCGTCACGTCCTTGGAAAGCCCCTTTCTGACATCCTTTCTGAAAGCCTGCTGAGGATAATTAAACACGCCTTCTCCCTGGGCTTTCCTTTAGGGCGGGAGTCCCCAAACGTCCTGAGCCTGTGGGCACGCCGGGAATTCTGAGAGGGGGAAGTGGTTGCAACCCTGAAAATGGCTCCCACAGGAGATGAAGCCCAACCCAAAATGGCTGCCACAGGAGGCGAAGCCCAACCCAAAATGGCTGCCACAGGAGGCGAAGCCCAACCCAAAATGGCTCCCACAGGAGGCGAAGCCCAACCCAAAATGGCTGCCACAGGAGGCGAAGCCAAACCCAAAATGGCTGCCACAGGAGGCGAAGCCAAACCCAAAATGGCTGCCACAGGAGGGGGAAGGGAACCACACACCAACTAAGGAAAGCCCAGGTGCTTCCCAGTCCTCCAGTGGGAAAAACCTTTCATTTGAATGGGTTTTCACTGCCTTTCAATTACACTGCCTTACAGTGACACCGCTCACTTTCTGGAAAGCTTGGCAGGGGCCAAGTGAAGTACTGGCAGGCGCCACTGTGCCCGTGGGCACCACGTTGGGGAATCCTGTTTTTAGGGTCCTGCTTTAGGGCAACCAGGCTTTTCCTGAACCAAAGCCATCTTCTGAGGGGGGGGGGAGAGACCCAGGCTGGCAGCCCGTTCACCAGCAGAGCTCTCGTTTTATGCCCGGACGGCAGTTCAGTCTCTCTGGCACTCTTGCGGGGCTAGTTCTGTAAAAACGGCACACGGCAAGCTGACGGCGGCCCTCACTGGTTTATTTATTGAGCTCAGGAGCCGAGGCTCTGTTCGTGGGCGCCGTCCCCCACCTCCTGGTGCTCAGATCCCCTCGTCACACAACGGCCCACTGATCAGACCGTTTCCCAACCCACCAGATGCTTGGGGTCCCTCGTGGATTTCTCTGCCCCGCTGATCCCCTCGCTTGGACTGGAGGAACCAGCCACGAGCGGCCGCTGCGGCGCTTGGCGGATACCGAGGGGTTGCACCACCACCCCCGGGCCAAAAACCTAAGGGAGTCGCCCCACCTTGCCGCCTCTTTGGAACAGGGATGCCTCCATCTTGGAGACCAGCACAGGCCTCCAGAACACGGCAGTGCTGTGTCAGGTTTTGAGAACGCGCGCATGTTGCGGCCAGCGCAAAAACCCCAGTCCCGCAGTTGCAGTCCTCTTTAAGCCCTCGAACTTCTGACGACGACGAAACTGGTTTCCTAGCAGCCGTGAAGGCAAGGGCTTGCGGTGGTGGTGGTGGGGGGGACGCAAGGGGCCATCCAGACTCCGAAGTGGCCAGTTCCGGCCCTCCCGCTAAGAGCAAGGCACTCCTAGCTCTGGGCAAGCCCTTTTTGACTACTGGGGCTGCCCTCCTAGAAGCGGCAAGAAGAAACGACCGATTTGAAGGACCCAGAAGCCACACAGATTTTGTGTGTGTGTGTGTGTGGGGGGGGAGGATAATGCTAAGAAGAGGATCAGGAGGGGCAAGGCCTTGCATCGTCCTCCGTGTGGCCCAGCCGCCGAAGGCCGACAGGGGCTTCTTGTCGGGTCCCTCCAAAGACCTCCCTTTCGCCCTCTGCCACTGCAGAAGATTCGACAGCTCCTTGATTCGGCACAGGAACTGCTGGACTTTCTTCAGCTCGGTAACCAGGAGCAACAGGCAGAGAAGGCCCAGCACGGCCTGGTGTCTCGAGTACCCCGTGCTCGCTTTGGGGAGCTCGGCTCTCGGGGACGCTCGGCCCGAAGACCGTCAGCTCCCCTCCCGATCTGGTCCCCGAGTCACCTGAATGCGACTTCCCAGGGCTTCCCTGAGCAGGCGTGTTCTCCGGCTTAAGAGGCACACGAAGACCATCATTCGCCACGCCGCTGGACGCTTCCGGTTCTCTCTGGAGGGTCCTGCAGTTAGGAACCTCCTCGGCCGACTCTCCAGATTCATCCACCTGCGGCACTTCTGCATCCCAGGCTGCTAACCCCAGGCTCTGCCGTTCTGTCCTACTGGGCTTGCCAGTCTCTATGGTTCCGCCCAAACTTGTGCTCTCCGCGGTGCTGGAGGCAGCGGACTCGCCATCCCCGGGGCCGGGCGACTCCTCCCTCTCTGGCGGAGGCTCCACCTCTTCCGTGCCGCCGCGGTTCGCCTGACTCGCCTCGCCTGCCAAGGCCTTGACCGGCTGGTGGCACAGGGGGCAGGTGTCCCGGACATAGAACCATTTGCGGAGGCAGCCCCCGTGGAAGATGTGGCCACAGTGGGTGATCACGGCCAGCGTCATCTCCTGCACCGGAAGAAAGCAGCCGGTTAAAGGGGAAAGAAGGAGAAGAAGAGGAGGAGGAGGAGGGATTTATACTCCACCCTTCACTACCCGAAGGAGTCTCAGAACGGCTTACAAACTCCTTTCCCTTCCCCTCCTCACAACAGACACCCTGGGAGGTAGGTGGGGCTGAGAGAGCTCTCTCTTGAGAACTGCCCTTTAGAGAACCACTCTGAGAGAACTTGTGACTGGCCCAAGGTCACACCAGCAGCTGCATGTGGAAGAGGAGAGGGGAATTGAAGAAGAGGAGATTAGATTTATACCCCGCCCTTCAGTACCCAAAGGTGTCTCAGAGCGTTTTACAAACTCCTTTCCCTTCTACCCCCCACAACAGACACCCTGTGGGGTAGGTGGGGCTGAGAGAGCTCTCTCTTGACAACTGCCCTTGAGAGAACAGCGCTGAAGAAGCTTATGACTGACCCAAGGTCACACCAGCAGCTGCATTTGGAGGAGTGGGGAGTCAAACCTGGTTCTCCCAGATTAGAGTCTGTGCTCCTAACCACTACACCAAACTGGGAGGGGAGCAGAGCCTTTTCGGGCCTGGCCCCAACCTGTTGGGGCTCTCTGCCAAATACCACCAGGGCCCTGCGGGACCTTATGCAATTCCAGAGGGCCCGTAAAGGCAGAGATGTTCCGCCAGGCCTTTGGCTAAGGACTGCAACGTTTTCCATCATAGCTGGTACCCTTTCCGCTTATGCCACTTTTCATTTCTGTTTTGCTTTCCTCTCCCCTGCCTGCGAAGCGGCCAACGGTCTGAAATGGGATCAATTAGCCTACGCCATCTATATTGCTTGAAATGTGTTATTAATATTTGAACTGTTTTATCTTGATGTTTTTATGAATGTCGTACATCGCCCAGAGCCCTGCGTTGCAGGGACTGGGCGATTAACAAATTAAATATGTAAATAAAAATAAATAATAATAATAATAATAATATGGCTTACAAACTCCTTTCCCTTCCCCTCCCCACAACAGACACCCTGTGATGTGGGTGGGGCTGAGAGAGCTCTGACAGAAACTGCTCTTTTTCAAGGACAGCTGTGCCAGAGCTTGTGACTGACCCAAGGTCACATCAGCAGGTGCAAGTGGAGGAGCGGGGAATCAAACCCGGTTCTCCCAGATTAGAGTCCGCACACTTAACCACTACACCAAACTGTAACCACTACACCAAAGAGAAGGCAGGGGTTTCCAAAAAACAAGGATGAGTGAAGGTAGGTGGGGCTGAGAGAGCTCTCTCGAGGACTGCCCTTGAGAGAACAGCGCTGAGAGAACTCGTAGCAGACCCAAGGTCACACCAGCAGCTGCACGTGGAGGAGTGGGGAATCAAACCCCGTTCTCCCAGATTAGAGTCCGCGCTCCTAACCACGACACCAAATTTTATTTATACCCTGTCTTTCTCACCCGTGGGGACCCAGCGCGGCTTACATCATTCCCCCCTCCTCCATTTTAGCCCCACAACAACCCTGTGAGGTAGGTCAGGCCGAGAGTGGGCGAGTGCCCCACCGTCACCCAGAGAGCTTCCTCCACGGCAGAGTGGGGAATTCATAGAATCATAGAACGTTAGAGTTGGAAGGGACCTTGCAGGTCATCTAGCCCAACCCCCCTGCAATCTGCGGGAGCATAGCTCGAACCTGGCTCTCCCAGACCCTCGTCCGACACGCCAACCACGGCACCAGGCTGGCTCAGGACGGCACTTGCCTGGAAGCAAATGGCACAGACGTCGTTGTGGTCCTGCAGCTGTCCCCGGGTGGCCCTCGGCAGCGAGTCGACCTTCTCGGCCGCCTCCCTCCGCAGCAGGAAGCTCCTCCAGCCGGACTGGGCCCTCAGCCAGACGTTGAAATAGGAGTGGATGATGATGACCGAGGCCCCCATCCAGCTCCACTCCCCGAAGACGGACTCCCAGGTCCCGTAGGCCACCACGCAGACGGCCACCAGGAACTCCAGCACGCGGCTGACGGCGTTGACGTAGTAGACGATCTCGTCCATCTTCTCCACGGGGGCCTCCTGGAAGGTCTCGATCATGAAGAGGGCGTAGATGAAGAGGGTCCCCATCACCTGGGAGGAGGAGGAGGAGGAGGAGGAAGAAGAAACGGAGGAGGAGAGAGAAACAAGAGAGCTGGAAGGGACGCCAAGGGTCATCTTGCAGGAAATTCACAACGATCTCCCCCAATGACCCCTGCTCAATGCCCAGGGGCCATCAGGAGCTCCAGCAGTGGGGCCAGAACTCCAGAAGCCCTCCCACTGTGGCCCCCCAAGAACCAAGAAGGCAGAGCATCACTGCCCCAGACAGAGTGTTCCATCTATGCCTTGTGACTCATAGCCACAGATGGACCTCTGCTCCAGATGTTTATCCAGTTCCTTCTTGAAGTGGTCTACGCTTGTAGCTGCATAGTGAATTCCATGTTCCTGCAGCAGTGAGTTCCACGTGTTCATGACTCTTTGGGTGAAGAAGTGCTTCCTTTTATCTGTTCTCAGCCTACTGCTTATTAATTTCATCAAGTGCCCAAGAGATCTTGTATTGTGAGAAAGGGAGAAAAGTACTTCTTTACCTACTCTATCCAATGCATAATTTTTGGCCCCCCCCCAAACACCGAAGCCATGTTGGCTCAGGCCAGTGGCCCATCCAGTCCAAAATTCTGTGTCACACAGTGGTCAAAACCCAGGGGCCATTAGAAGGTCCACCAGATTTACCAGCAGGGCCAAAACTTCAGAAGCCCTCCTGCTGTTGCCCCCCCCCAAGCACCAAGAATACAGAGAAGCCATGTTGTATCAGGCCAAAGGCCTATCCAGTCCTGCACTCTGTGTCACACAGTGGCTAAAACCCAGGTGCCATTAGGGGGTCCACCAGTGGGGCCACAACTCCAGAAGCCCTCCCACTGATGCCCTCCAAGCACCAAAAAGACAGAGCATCACTGCCCCCGAAATAGTGTTCCCTCTATACCTTGTGGCGAATAGCCACTGATGGACCTCTGCTCCATATGTTTATCCAGTCCCCTTTTAAAGCTGTCTATGCTTGTAGCTGCCACCACTTCCTGCGGCAGTGAATTCCACAGTTGTCCCAACATCACAGAACACCCTGGTATCTTTCAGGTGAAGATTCATCTATTGCATTATGGACATTTCGCTCTGTTTCTGCAGATTAATGTTATGGTTTTGGTTTGACTGTTCTGATTTTTTAAAAAAGAAGTGGTGTAACCCACTCAGCCTTTTTTTAAACATACATGTAGGCCAGAGCCTTCCAAAATAAATCTGCTTGGAACAGCAAGTGCCACTTAACCCTCTAGACTGGGGTCCCCAACTTTTTGAGCCTGCCAGCGCCTTCGGTATTCCGGCCCAGGGTGGTGGGTGCAGCCACAAAAATGGCTGTCGCGGAAGCAGAACCAACAATGTAATGGCTGCTGCAGGAGGCAGAGACAACTGTATAATATCAGGGATGTTATATGCATATCTTTGTTCAGCATTTCAGGCAGAAGTTCTGTGCATTTTGTTATTTCCTACCATTTCCACCATAGGTTGGTAGGATTTGGAAGAAGGAAAAACCCAAAGGAAAGCAAATCAATACAACCTTGAATATTAAGGTAAAGGTTTCCCTTGCTAGAAAGCCAGTCGAATCCAACTCTAGGGGGGTGGTGCTCATATCCATTTCCAAGCCAAAGAGCCAGCACAGTCTGAAGATGTTTTCGTGATCATGTGGATGGCATGACTAAATGCCGAGGCGCACGGAATGCTATTACCTTCCCACCAAAGTGGTACCTATTTATCTACTTCCAATTTCTTGCTTTCGAACTGCTAGGTTGGCAGGAGCTGGGGCCAGAGACGGGAGCTCACTCCGTCATGCGTCACTCGGGTCTCGAATTGCCAAACTACAAACCTTCCGGTCTGCAGCTCAGCATCTTATTACAACTATTTAAAAACATTTGCAAGACATTTAGCAACCGCTTCCTACCAGTCCATATCATTAGAAAAGAACAATTTCAAGATAATATAATTACAAGAGCACTGAATCTTGGAATTAACAAAAAAACTCCTGGCTTTAACAAACGAGGAACAACGTAATGACACCTGTCAGAGAGTTTCTACTGCCCCGGAAGCCCAAGAACACTTTCTTTCCATCCAGGGAATGCCTTTAAGCCTTCCAATATATTTGGCTCCTGGCAGTGAATTGCATCTTGCTAATAAAATTAACCATCTATATTTAGGGCTTTGCCTAGCGATCAAAGTCCTACGTAACAAGATGCCTTTGGAAAGGAACATACCGTTTTGAAATGTTTTCTTGCCTACACCTTCGGTCACGCAGTCGCGATCCTTGGGCCCTGCCGGCAGTTGCTGCCAAAGCAACTCCTAAAAAATCTGGACAGCCAATTAGATCTCCAATAGGCAGTCAGAAGTTCTGAAGAGCAAAAGCTCCGACTGGCTCTACTGACTCGTGGACTCCTGTTATGGATGCATTTCAAAGGCCACCCCAGACAGGGCGCAGCCGTCTGACCCGGAAGCGGATGACAGCAGACGCCCCCAGACTGAAACGGTAGTGAGGTAAAGGACGCTCTAAGTATGAGTTTAGAGATATTAACTAGGTATGGAGTGCGCTCCTAAGCACTACACCAAATTGGCTCTCAGCAGGCACTCTGGTGCCCACGGGTGCGAAGTTGGGGACCCCTGCTTAACGTAGTTGCCAAAGAGTGGAGGAGGGGTACCAGGGAGGAATGAGAGCCCTTTCCGCTTTGGGTGTCTTTGCACGGAGGCCTAATCTTGTTAGTCGCCTTGGGCGCTCGCTAGAACAGAAGGGCGATTGACAAAAAAACCCACGGCTCCATGCAAAAACGTGGGAGGGGCCAAAGCCCTGGAGAGACGCAAACCCCACCGACCCGGGAAGTACCTGCAGCGAGGTCAGCATGCAGCTCGAGACGAGGATCAGGAGCCAGAAGTCCATGTGGAAGAAGTGGGCGATCTTGTAGGCCATGAAGCCCGGGAAGGTCAGGAGGAAGAGGCACATGCTGACCCCCCGGAAGTGCTTCCAGATGCTCCTGCGGGGAGAGGGCGGTCGGCGGGACTGCTCCGGGAAGGTGCCTCGTGGGGAGACGGCCCGGCATGACGGTCTCTGCTCGGCAGCACCGCTCCGCAATTCCCAGCGGAGAGAGGCCTTTCCCAGCGCCGGCTCCCCGAGATCCGTGAACGGGACCATTCAAGGCAAAACAAATGGCCTTTCCCTTGTTTATTGATTTAATTCATGCGGGGACCCCAAGTGCCTCACATTGCTCTCCCGTTTCCCATTTTCTCCTCACAGTAAGCCTGTGAGACAGGCTAGGCTGAAGAGAGAGAGAGACTGGCCCAAGGTCACCCAGCGAGCTTCCGTGGCACAAGCGCTTCGGAGAACTGACGAGGTCAGCCTCCCCCGCTGCCCCACCCCTTGCTTCCCTATTGCCCTACCCCTACCTCCCCCGCCGCCCCACCCCTTGCTTCCCTGCTGCCCTACCCCTACCTCCCCCGCT